CAAATAGTTTTGCAGCTGTAGTTCAGGTGGGGTTAAGTCCCTTCTTGCGAAGGGACTATGCCCACCCAATTTAGGTTGATGGATATTTCTGTATTGATTAATAAAAGAGTGTGCAGCAGAAGGTGTTGAAAATTTAACTTTGATGATGCGGTGAAAGTTGTTTTGTTTTTTGGCTCCATGTCTTTTTACTTCGAATGTTTTATTATCTTGGAAGTTTTTGTTGTTCACAACAGCATTAACATTCTTCTCGATAACCTTAATATCTTCTTCTTCATTATCTATTTCAGGGAATCTTTCGATAACTGCATAGTAGCTCTTCTTTTCATACAACTCCTTAAGTTTTTCATCGAATTTGGGCTGTTGAAGTTGTTGGATTGTTTCTGCTGCCTGACGAATTTTTGGTGGCATTAGATTCGGGGGGCAACCCCACTGAGATATTGGTTGTGGGTTTTGGGATGGAAGATTGTTGCTGAATTTTTGATGTAATTGTTCAAATAAGGTTTTAATTGTAGTTTCAATTAATGGTGTCAGAAGTTGAACAACATTGCGAGAAATTTGTTCAAGTTGTTCAGTTGATAAAAGTGGTGTTTTATCAATTTCACTGTCCGTACTAATCGATGTACATGGTCTTTTTGCATTTCCCATGACGATTATTTTTTTAAATATTTATGGAGGAATGAAAGAAAATTGGAGGAATGGAGGAATGAAAGAAAATTGGAGGAATGAAAGAAAATTGGAGGAATGAAAGAGTTCCGGAACTAGAACTACGGAACTAGTAAATGTCTGGAACTGGTTTGGAACTAGAACTACTGAACTAGTAAATGCCTGGAACTAGCTTGGAACTGGAACTACGGAACTAGTAAATGTCTGGAACTAGGCTGGATGGTGGCACAGTCTGTTGTGCTTCGGTCTGGGCCCTTTGCATGATGGTTCTTTTTTTTCTCCCACCCAATGAGTTTTTCTGCAGCATGAACATTATAGTTTTCTTTGGCCATAAATAATTCCCTTTTACTAATTAATTTCACGCGAAACTATAAATAAATTCATATTTAAAAATATTTTTACACGAAATTCCGCTTTTTTGTTGTAATAGCCAATTAGTTTTTGAATTACTCATCGGCTAACTTTAAAAGTTCATTATGTAAACAAACTAAATTAAAATATTGTTCTCCAACATTTTACCCTCCAAAATTTCTACTTCAGTATTCTCGTTTTTCTTTTCAAGAATGAATTGTTCTTGTATTTAAAAATTATATTTTTATATTTTCAAATAAAAATAAATATTACCTAATTGCTCAAATTTTTCCGGATAAGGTGCTGAGCCGCCAACTTTTTCGAGCATGGGCAGAATTTTTTCACCTAATTGAGTAAAAGCCTATTAAAAATGTTTATATTTTAATCTTGCTACAATAATACAAACATCTTTTAGCTGTCCTGGATTCATCCCTCCCGACTGAGATCCCGAACTTCCTCCAAAATTTGTCCTTCCTGTTTGAGATCCTGAAGGATCTCCAAAATTTATCCATCCTGGTTGAGATCCTGAAGGACCTCCTGGATTCATCCATCCTGGTTGAGATCCTGAAGGACCTCCTCCTGGATGCATTCCATATAATAATGTAAAATGTTGAACAAAACAAATGTTTAAAACAATTAAATTGTAAATTTTCATCTTCAAATTAAAAAAATTTAAAGTTAAATATCCAATACGAGTCAGAAGTTATAAAACTTTATATGTACTACATGATGTTACCAATAGAACTTTCAAGAAATATATTTATATTTTGATTCGCTTCAGCGTCAAGTTCCCGACACTGACAGGTTCCGGTATCACATGTATATGTTATCCGTATTTATTACAATGTTTATATGAAAATCCCAAGTTTTCAAAATGCTATTTCTCTTTAAAACAAAAAGGAATCTTGTTAAGAAAAATAAAATCAAAGGGCTGTTGTATTTTTATTTTAGTGAATTAATGAATAAAACAAGAAATATGCTTACATTTTAAAGGCAATCAGACGCGCATCTTGCCATAACTATAAGCTGATAGCTTTAAATTTTTTTACTTTTAAGTAAATACAAGCCTTGTATATTTAATTAAATCATTTTAGCTTTAGATATAGACCCCCGTCCCATGAGTGTATTAAGCGTCCCATGAGCTTCTATGATCATAAGAGCTTTTAGCGTCTTATCAAAGAGACATATAATCCGATGCGACGTTAAATACTCTTGGGACGCTTAATAGCTCAAGATACGATGGCTTAATCTAATGCCCTTTTTTCTTTTACCCCTAAGAAAAAATTTTATTTATTGATTGACAAAATTTAAATACACTTTAGTATTTAGAGTTGCCGCCTTATTTTTCTTTTTTCTAATTAAATCCTCTGATATTGTATTAATCTCCCAAATCTACCAATATCTCCAAAAATCCGCTGATATTATCCTATTAGTCAACAAATATCCTCTTAATCACAACTATTTCTCTATATGCTTTCATTAGAACTAAACCTAGTTATGTATAAGTAGGAGTGAGTAATACAGACCGATACGTGCCTTCAAATTCTGAGTGGATTCGAACCGTCGACAAATTAAAATTCCAATTCCAATTTAATCTTAAATTGAATTCAAATGCACTTAACCACACCTTATTGTAAAAATGTTCACCGTGTAAATGTCCACTTTGAAATAGTTTTTTTAATATTACTTTTTTAATATTCACCATTTTAATATTTTTAACAAAAATAAAAATTTTATTCAAACTTATAATTTTTTAATATAATTTCTTAATATATAATTTCTAAATAACTTATAATTTCTTCACAATTTTCTGAAAGAAAAGGAAAGCAAAAAATTTCGTTGTAATTTTAATAAAATGTTAATTAATAAAAGAAAAATGAAGATATAGCTTGACAGAAATTTTTGAATTATTTTTAAAATATTATTAATTTGTTAAACACCAATTGATGGACATATATTTGCACTTTACACATTTCTTGTTATTACAATGAAATCCATAACAGCATTGTTTATCCTTTGTATCGTCAATATCACAATCCCCTTTTTCATTAACACAGTTGTAAGGTCGACAAATGGAGTGTCCGTCCATTTTAGTTTTACAATCCTTCACAGCATTTATTGCCTTGATTGTCACAAAAATAATTATCCTTCTTTACACATTTGCTATCTTTACAGATCCCGGGACCAAGATTCGAAAATCTACAAAAATAACCTGGACAGCAACCATCATTGTTAACACATTCTGGGCCTTTATAAAGACAAAAGCAATTAATTAATTGAAATATTAAAAATAAATTTAAGAATAAGAAAGGATTAAAAAAATATTATTTGAAGAAAACATTTAATTAATTTTTGGAGTTTAAATTATTTATTAAAATAAATGTAATGATATATGTATTGCTAAACTTTACCGGCATTTTATATAATTCCATATGAAGATTAATTTGGCTTATGGTTCAGCCTATAAAGATTAATTTGGCTTATGTTTCAGCCTTTAAAGATCAATTTGGCTTATGGTTCGGCCTACAAACTACTATTTCAATTAAAATATTTTTATAGAAATAAGCCAAATTTAAATTTGGGAATGGCTATTAGTTTACCACAGAACCACGAAAAGATTAACCATGAAAAAGAGGCATGAAAATCAGATGAAAGTTAGAAGGTAAAAAGCTGCATGTGTGGTAGAAAAGGGAGGGGGTACCTTTAATAATAAATTTTTAGGTAAACAGATGACATTGGGAGCTAAATTAAAATTTTTAAATTAAATTCTGAATAAACACAAATTCTAAAATAAAATTTAGTTAAGCTAAATGAGGTTTCCTCAAAAATAAATAAATTTCTTATGCAAACAAAAATTCAAGCTAAAATTAGTTTTTGGATTTTTTTAAATAAAAAAATATTGACTTTTTAGAATCGCTCCCATTTGAAATTAATTGATAGAAAATTTCGGATAAATTCGGCATTATCATTGAAGAAATAAATTTTCTAGATCAAGAACCGATCAGAAGAATCCATACAATCGCCATCAAAGGAGGTCTTCAAATATAAACTCCGTTCCAAAAAACCTCGACACCCCCCAATTTTTCAGATAAATCGACTTACGGTTGTCTACTTTTGATAATCTATTTATATACTGATTCAGCAGCAAAAACTACCCTATTTTACAAAAAATTTTTGCAAACTGATAATTTTATCAAAAGTTATGATAAATTTTCAAAAAATCAGGCGTTCCAAATATCCTCAAACAGTTTGTAAAAATACCGATAATTACGGAAAAAAATTTTCTAAAATTTAACAAAAATTTCTATAAACATAACTATCAATAAGCTACAAAATAGAAAAAAAACTAAGTCGAAAACTGCTTCCATCATCGAGATCTCAAATCTCAAAAATCAACGGAAAATTGGGTTACAGTACTTTAAAAAATATTTTTTACCTATTACAGTATGCCTAAAAATTTCATTTTATACTTGTTGAATAGCCCATAAAATTTGCTACAAGTTACAAAAGGGCTCATCTTTCTAAAAAATTTATCGGTGTCGGCATTCAAGCTTAAATAACTAGCATACCAAAAATAGCCTAAAAATGCACTATGTATTATCGGTAAGAGGTTATTCTAGCTTGAGTATTTACCGGATAAATTTTTGGGGGGTTCGAGGTTTTTTGGAACGGAGTTTATAAGTTATTCATTTTATTTTCTATGGAAAAACTAACAAATATATTATCCGAAAGCAGTTATTTCCAGCTGAAGAATTGATTTATATTTTTTTATCAGAAAAATTATCCGGCATTTAGTTATACCATTTCTGATATTATCATATTAATTGATACAATTTTCTAACTAATTTATCACAAGAGCATTCTAACTAACAAAAATAAATGTGTAATTTAAAATGAATAAAAATTCAGAAAATTAAAAACTAATACAAATTTTGCTAGAAAGTAAAGAAAATTAAAGGGATTTTGGGATTTGCTCTCCCTCTAAACTACTGTCTGGACTTTTTCACCAGCATTGAGCCACTAATGTCGGGCATGAATTTTTGGGTTATCGTTAGAATAAATTTTAAAAGTGTAAATAAAATTGACAGAATGTTAATTGAAAAAATGAAAGTATAATTATGACAAACTCTTAAAATGTGCACAATAACTATAGAAATAATCGGGAACCCTGAGGTAGCTTCTAACATAAAATATTAACTATGGTTGGAGATGTTCTGTTGAAATGATGGGGAAAACTGCTAACAGACCTTACTAATTTACAATTCTTATTCCAGTTTTGATACTTTCAATCTAGAACAATCAGTTGAGAGGGTAATAATATCCTTCTTGGAATTGAATTCCTAATGAGGTTTTGTCATAATTTCGTGTGAGCCAAACACTTCAGGACAGACATTTCCTGACGGACATCGGCATTTAAGGACAGACATTTAAGGATTCACATATCAGTACGGACATTTCAGGATTATCATTTACCCATAGACTGTCCTTAAGTTTTTTCTCAACCACTCCAATTCTTTCTAAGATGACTAAATATTTAAACATTTTATTCATCGGAAGAGATGAATGTCAATCCTAAAATGTCAATCCTCAAATATCCGTCCTTTCAGAATTATAATATCTGCTCTGATATGATAATCCTGAAATGCCCACTCAAAAAATCATTTAAAAGTGTAAAGAAAGATGCCAGAAGTTTAATAATAAAAGATCACAGAAGAAGTTTCTTTGTTTTTTGTCAACATAAACTCGTAATCTTCTCATCTTCTTCCTTCCTTAAAATATAAATTAATATAAAATTAAATATTCAAATAATAATTATACCCGTCCTCAATTGTTGGAACCAGAGTCGCGATTTCCTGTCTTACGATCTCGCCGACTTTGATAATATCGACTTTGACGTTCAGCTTCTTTACGTTTAGATTCAGCAATTAGATGTTGCCATTCACGCTCAACTGTTTATATTTATTTTAATTAATCCTTGAAATAGTTTAAGTTTTTAATCTAATTTTATCTTAAATAAAATTAGCCCTTTATCGTTAACTAAGCTTAATGGTCCATATCAAGTTATTTATTTTCGGAGATGCATTAAATCCAGGGCTCGGATCGACAAAATGGCAATCATAAGTACAAAAATCTTGATTAAAAAGTACATTGGGAGAAAATTTGCAAATAAAAAGTACACTCCAAATTAAATTATGAAATATTTATTCGTCCTCAAATTTTTCATATTTCCCTCCTAAATGAATCTTTTCTAATAATTTCTTGTTTCCACTGAGCATTTTGTGCATTTCAATGCATGATATGTCAAAATTCGCTGACACAAGGAGTGAAGCACTGACAGTATTAACCTCCATTTTTCAGCGCCACAGGCGAAAATTTTTTTGAAATTTGGAGGTCCTTAAGCCAGATTTCTTCCATTTTTTGCGCCGCAGGCGAAAATTTTGAGAATCTTGGAGGTCCTTAAGCCAGATTTCTTCGTTTTTTTCAAAAATGTTGATAAAAAAGTACATACTTTCAAAAAAGTACAAATTCAATTTCTTAAGTACGGAGGTCGATAAAAAAGTACAATACTTTTAAAAAAGTACGAATCCGAGCCCTGATTAAATCCAATTGATTACCTTCTTCTAGATGATTGTATATTTTCTGCTTATCTTCCATAATTTTCAATTTCTCGTTTTGTATTTCTTGAAGTCGTGTAACTAGTTGATCTATTTCTGCAGATATTTTTTCTAATGTCGTCGTTGTTGTCTAAAAAAGTAGATACAATATTAGATCGCGTTTTATTATAAAATACTCCTTAATTTTTATTTTCATCTCTATTTTACATAACATTTTAATCTATCGAATAGCTGATTTTTCTGAGAGAATCTCCCAATAAAATCAATACCGATTTATTATTTTTTGAAAAAAATATATTTTAGATAAAAATTTTATGTTACCAAATTATCGAATGCAGCTTTGTGCCTGTTTTTAATTTCTTGACTAACATACTCAGATTCAGCTTGTAACTCGTTATACTTAAGATTGAAATTCTGATATTGTTTTTCAATAGTGTCAATTAATTGCATATTTCCTTGGTTTTCTTTATTATTAAAAATAAGTTTTATTTTTATATTCATAAATTATTTAATTATGTAAATAAATGAAAATAAGCATTACCTAGCCGGCGAGGTATTTTTTCTGGATGAGGTTTAGTATTGCCATGAACTTGAAGCAATTGACGAATTTTGTCGTCTAGCTATAAAACGTTTATATTTTTATTTTCATAAAATAATACAAACATTCATTGGTTGCTGTGGTCCTGAGCCTGAAGGGCCTGCTCCTGGATGCATCCCTCCTGAATGAGATCCCGAACCACCTTCATAATTCATCCCTCGTGGTTGAGATCCTGTTCCTTTTCCTGGATACATTCCAAATAATAATGGAAAGAAGGAAAGAAAACAAAGGTTTAAAAGAATTAAATTGGAAATTTTCATCTTTAAATTTATTAAAAGATTTATGGCTAAATATCCTATCCGATTCAGAAGGTATCCAATGCTATCATAAACATAAAATTGTAACTAAGTCTATATAATGTCTTCTTATAAGAATTGGCTTTAATTATTTTTTTAAAGTTTTGAAAGAGGGATCTTATTGAAAATCTTTAAATTTTATTATATGAATAAAACAGTCAATATACTATGTCTTTTAAAGGCACTCAGACGCGCCTATAACTACAGTGTTTAACTCACTCAGCGAACGCTTTAGATTTTTTTACCTTTCCATTAAATGGATTTTTAAATTTTATTTTTTTGCACTCGGGAAATGGACATTTGTCTCATGAGCGTATAAGCATCCCAACAGAGTTTAGAGAGAGAGACACTTATATTCAGACGGGATGTTTAATGCTTAACGCTTAAAATTTATTGTACGCATGTCTTTAACACGTACCCTTTTTTATTTTTACTTACAAGCAATAGTACTTTTCAATTTATTAATTGACAAATTTAAATGTACTTTTGTTTTTAATTTAAATTATAAATTGATTTTATATTTCATAATATAGTCTTTTTTTAATTTAATTAAATCCAAAGTTGACGGTTAAATCAAGAAGTTTGGAAGAAAATTTTTAAATCCGCATATTAAAGCAAAGAGTGTCTTTTCAGAATCTTGCTGACATGAGACCATAGTTTGGAGAGTTTGGAGTCTTGTTCGGACAATGCTTAAGTTGAAAATGCGTCAAAAATATTATTTTTCTCAAAATTCTCGATTTAATTTAAGATAAGACTGAGAAGACGGAATGACCAAATATTATTATTTTAGTTCTAAAATAAAATTGAATAAAAATTCAGATTAAAATCTAATACATATTTGCTAGAAAGTATAGAAAATTGTAGGGATTTTGGGACTTATCTCTCTCTAAACTACGGTTTGGACTTGACTAGTAATGAACAACGAATATCGAGTACGAATTTTTGGGTTATCGTTCAAAGAAAACTTTAAATGTTTAGAAAGGCGACAGAATGTTAATTGTAGAAAAACAGTACGACAAAACAGAAAAGAATGAGCACAATACTTATAAAAATAATCGGGAACCCCTGAGCTTGCTTCTAGTATAAAATAAATAACTCTTATTGGAGATGTTCTGTTCGGCAGTAGAGCCAAAACTTTTACTTAGAATAATAAAACATGTTCGGCTGTATCAATATTCAAGTTTTCAAGTTGCTTTTTTGTGGATGAGCTCAAATGGCATCGGAAAGAGTCCCATACTAGCAGATGGTCACCAAATAAGGATTGACCTAATGTGTACAGTTTTTACGTATTATTCTGTAAGGCTGTCGTCCATCCAGTTCGTGCCTCCCCAGACCAAAATAAATAGCAACCGCTTAGGTAAATAATTAAATAAAAAAAGAAAGTTTTAATAGAGGTTGTCGTTCTAATAGAGGTTGTCGTTCTATTCCTCAACCAAAAATATTTTAAAACTAAAATAATAATATTTAGACATTCTGTCTTCTCAAAGTCTTATTTAAAATAAAATTGAGAATTTTGAGAATATTTTTATTTTCAACTTAAGCATTGTCCGGATACCTTTAAACTATGGTCTTCAGCAAGATTTTGAAATTTGCTTTAATATGCGGAATTAAAAATTAAAAAAAAAATTTAAATTAAAATTTAAATAAAATTAAAAACTTTGATTAAAAATTTAAAGTTTAAAAATTTTCTTCCAAACTTCTTAATTTAACAGTCAACTTTGGATTTAATTAAATTAAAAAAAGACTATCTTATGAAATATAAAATCAATTTATAATTTAATTTAAAAACAAAAGTGCATTTAAATTTATCGCTCAATAAATTGAAAAGTACTATTGCTTGTAAGTTAAAATAAAAGAGGGTACGTGTTAAAGCCATGCGTACAATAAATTTTAAGCGTTAAGCATTAAACATCCCGCCTGAATATAAGTGTCTCTCTCTAAACTCTGTTGGGATGCTTATACGGTCTTGAGACGGATGTCCTTTTCTCGAGTGCAAAAAATAAAATTTAAAAATCCATTTAATGGAAAGGTAAAAAAATCTAAAGCGTTCGCTGAGTGAGTTAAACACTGTAGCTATATGCGCTTCTGATTGCCTTTAAAAAACATAGTATACTGAATGTTTTATTCATATAATAAAATTTAAAGATTCTCAATAAGATCCCTTTTTCAAAACTTTAAAAAAATAATTAAAACCCATTCTTATAAGAAGACATTATATAGACTTAGTTACAATTTACAAAATATATTTTGATCTAACAAGTTTAAACCCAAAGATTCATTTATAGAAAACTCTAGGCCTATCAGATAAAAATCTGATAAATTTTAATTGAATTCAAGAGATATTAGGCGCAAAGCCATAACTTGTTTCAATATTTCCGTATCTTATCTAATTAAGTATTAAACAACCTTATGAGCTAAAGAGATTGTTATTAAAATTGATAAGGGTAAGAAATTTTCATGAAGGATCAGGGCAAGAAATTAGAGCAAGAAATTTTTTATTATTTACTTTAATTTATTTACCAAATGATTCTGGTAGAGATTTAAATTTCTATTATAACATAAATAGGTATGTGTATGATAGCATTAAATACCTTCTGAATCGGATAGTATATTTAGCCATAAATCTTTTATTCAATTTAAAGATGAAAATTTCCAATTTAATTCTTTTAAACCTTTGTTTTCTTGAACCTTTTTCTTTATTATATGGAATGCATCCAGGAGGAGGTTCAGGATCTCAATCAGGAGGGATGAATCCAGAAGGCAATCCTTCAGGCTCAGTACCACAACAACCAATGAATGTTTGTATTATTTTATGGAAATAAAAAAATATAAACCTTTTTATAGCTAGACGATAGAATTCGTCAGTTGCTTCAAGTTCACGGCAATTCTGAACCTCATCCACAAATAAGACGACGAAAGTTAAGTAATGCTTATTTTCATTTTTAATTAAATTTGTTTTTAAAATTAAGGAAACCAAGAAGAACCTATGCAAATAATTGACACTGTTGAAAAACAATATGATAATTTAGTTTTCGCATATAACGAGTTAAACAATGAATTTCAGACTAGTAGTACAAGAGTTCAAAACATTCCGATGGTTAGATTACATTATTTGGTAATAACAATCTTGTGTATTTACAATTTATTTTTATTGGGGATGATAAACGAAGGGAAAAATGGGAATACAGGGCTTGGAAATTTCAAAAGGTCAACTCTACTATCAATAAAAAAACTATTTTCATTTTTTAGGGTAATCATGAGGTGGAACAACGAATTGATGCCGAAGCAAATAATCTAAACATTCGTCTTCAACAAATCCAGAACGAGCAAATGGGAATTATAGAAGATATGCAAAAAATATACGATCAACTCAATGAAGGTAATTAATTGGATTTAATGTACCCCCCGAAAATAACTTGATATATTACACAATTCAGCTTGGTTAACATTTAAAGGGGGAATTTTATTTAAGATAAGATTAGATGGAAAAAACTTAAATTATTTCAAGGATTTTAATTAAAATAACTATAAACAGCTTATCTAATTGCTGAACGTAAACATCGCCATGCTCAAGCTCAACATCGATATCTTCAACGTCGACGAGATAGTAAGGCAGGAAATCGCGAATCTGGTTCCAACAATTGAGGACGGGTATAATTATTATTAGAATATTTAATTTTATAATAATTTATATTTTGAGGAAGGAAGTTAATGAGAAGATTACGAGGATGCGAGGAACATATGAGGAGTAAGTTTATTTGACAAAAAATCGGAGAAAACAGTCTCCAAAAACTTTTCTTTACAAAATTATGACAAAACTTCAATAGGTCTTCCTTCGCAAGAAACGAGCCATTAGCTATCTACTGGACCATTTTAGTTTGGCAATGCCTAATCACTAAAAAATGACTTTTTGCATTGTCCTTTTGTGGACATGAGAGCCGCTAGGAGGACATTTACGAATAATTCTATACATTTAGAGACAAGTTAACTATTTTAGGAGATTCCCATCAGTTTTATAATTATATGTTATTTTTTAAAGTTTTGTCATAATTTGCCTTATATTTCTTTCAATTACCGTATTTTCTCGATTAATATCCCTGGGGAATTATTTTTTCAACCCATCCATGGCATGGGGATTTATTCAAGGCAGGGGAATTATTCAGTTTTGAAATCTGAACGTGTAGTTGTGTATTTGGAGGAGGGGAATTTTTGTTTCAACGTATCTTTGGCAGGGGTAATTAATAGTGAGGGGAAATTATTCGAAGGAGGGGAATTAATCGAGAAAATTCTTTCTAGCTCAATTTGTATTAGTTTTAAATTTTCTTATTTTTTATTTTCTTTTCTTCCACGTATTTACTGTTAGTTAAAAAAAACTCGTGCGATAAATTAGTTAGAATTTTATGTTATTTTTGATTAAAATAATACTGTTTCAGCGTTTTATATAATTACATATAAAGATTATATGGCTTATGGGTTTTAAAGAAAAATTAACAAATATGTTATCCCAGAAAAGTAATTATTTCCAGCTAAGAAATTGACTTGTATTTTTTATTGAACAAAATATACCATTCTTTGTCATAGAAGATCCTGATTTAACAACAATTCTATATTGCGTCGTGACTGGTTTAGGATATATTTCTCGAACTTATGACGTGGCGGAGGCAAAGACACAGATTTAAAGAACACGGATTACAAAATCCGTGTCCATGAGCATGCTGGTTGTCAGAATTCCGGTACATGGTTGTAAATGGCTTATAATTCTTTTATTTGGTATATCTTTTAGTTTAAATTAAATATTTTGAAATTATTTTTATTTGTCTATGATTTTAAAATAAAAGCTTTTAAAAATAAGAGTAATTTTTAAAATAAAGTTTAATTAAAAATAACATAAAATTTTAACTAATTTATCGCTTTTTTTAACTAACAGTAAAAATGTGGAAGAAAAAAAATAAAAAATCAGAAAATTTAAAGCTAATACAAGTTGGGCTAGAAAGAATAGAAAATTATAAAGACTTGAAACTTTTCCTCTTCAAACTATAATCAGGATTTTTCACCTGCTATGGGCCGCGAATGTCGGGCAGAAAATAAAAATCTAAAATGAATAGAAAGATGAAAGAGTGTTAATTGAAAGAAATGAATGGAAAATTATGACAAAACATTAAATAATAACACTGATTATAAAACTGATGGGAACCTCCTAAAATAGTTAACTTGAATAATTCGTAAATGTCCATCTAGCGGCCCTCATGTCCGCAAAAGGCATTCAGAAAAAGGCATATTTTACTGTTTTGGCATTGTCAACCTAAGATGTTTGACCAGATAACTAATGGCCCCTTCGTGAGAAAGGAAGACCTATTGAAGTTTTGTCATAATCTTGTAAAGAAAAGTTTTTGCAAGCTTTTGTTTTCTTTGTTTTTTGTCAACATGATCTAACTCCTAATATGTTCCTCGCATCATCGTAATTTTCTCATCTTCTTCCTTTATTAAAATATAAATTAATATAAAATTAAATATTATAATAATATTATACACGTCCTCAATTGTTTAAACCAGATTCGCGATTTCCTGCCCCACGTTCTCGCTGACGTTGATAATATCGACGTTGATGTTCAGCATGTTTGCGTTTACGTTCACGCTCAGCTGTTTATATTTATTTTTATGAAATTTTTATGAAAATAAATCCTTGAAATAATTTAAGTTTTTCCCCTCTAATTTTAACTAAAATGAATTTTCTCCCTTTATCCAAGCTAGCCTTTTATATATAGCCTTTTATTTATATATAGCCTTTTATCTCCCTTTATCCAAGCTAGATGATGTGTATATCAAGTTATTTTCGGCGGATGCATTAAATCCAATTAATTACCTTCTTTTAGCTGATTGTATATTTTCTGTATATCTTCTATAATTCCCAGTTGCTCGTTTGGGATTTGTTGAAGCCGGATGTTTAGATTATTTGCTTCTTCATCAATTTTTTGTTGCATCTCATGATTACCCTAAAAAATGAAAAATATTTTATTATTATTTGTAAATTTCGACATTTTGAAATTTCATAGCCCTGTATTTCCATCTTTCCCTTCGTTTATCATCCCCCAATAAAAATTAATTGTAAATAAACAAAATTGTTTTACCATATAATGTATTCTAACTATCGGAATGTTTTGAACTCTTGTTCTAATCGTCTCAAATTCAGTGTTTAACTCGTTATATGCGGAGAGTAAATTATCATATTGTTTTGCAACAGTGTCAATTACTTGTATAGGTTCTTCTTTGTTTCCTTAATTTTTAAAAACAAATTTAATTAAAAATGAAAATAAGGCATTACTTAACTGGCGAGGTATTATTTCTGGATGAGGTCTAGAATTGCCGTTAACTTGAAGCAACTTATGAATTTCTTCGTCGAGCTATTAAAATGTTTATATATTTTTATTTCCATAAAATAATACAAACATTCATTGGTTGTTGTGATCCTGAGCCTGAAGGGCCTGCTCCTTGATTAATCCCTTGAGATCCCGAACCTCCTTCAAAATTTATCCATCCTGATTGAGATGCTGAACCTTCTCCTTGATTCATCCCTCCTGGATGAGATCCTGAATCACCTCCAAAATTTATCCATCCTGATTGAGATCCTGAAGGCCATCCAGAATGAGATCCTGGGCCATCTCCTGGATGCATTCCAAATAATAATGGAAACAGTTGAATAAAACAAAAATTTAAAAGAATTAAATTGTAAATTTTCATCTTTAAATTAAATTTTAAAAAATTTAAATTAAATTTGATTTAAAATATATTTTTTATACTGTTTCTTTATATTTAAATTTTGAGATTTACGTTTGTTATAGTGAACTTAATTGACAGTACTCCTAATAAAATTTATAATAAAAATCTCTTTAAGCTTAATACAAACAATAAGATGTCTTCCTTGAGAAGCATGTTTGTCAAAGCTTGTCTTAGTATTCTTACTAAGAAACAATTGCCGAGTATTCTAACACTGTTTATTAGTTAAAAACAATATTATATATTTAAAACATTAGGAAAGAAGAGTAATTGGCTGCTCGAATGTTTATTCGGGAATAAATCTCTCCTTTTATTACAATCAGATGCGCGCGTCATTCATCATTCATTTTTAATTTTTAATCCTATAAATCGAAATTTTGAAATATTAGAGCAAATAGACTTAAAGCAGATAGACTCATGATTAATTTTCTCTTCCTCTGTAAAAGAAATTAAAAAAAATTTTTTTTTATTTAAGTAGTTATTATTAAATGGCATGCTTAGCCGTTGCATTTTATTATCTATTTCCGCTGTTTAATTTTGCAAATGTATATTTTGCAAAAAATATTTTAAAATTAAATTTTATTGTTTAATAAATTTTGGATGTTTCCACTAATGCTGTACAAAGTTTAATAAAAAAATATTTATATATATGTTTACACTGCTAAACTTTTATTGAGAACCTGATTTCAAGGATATTCAGTGTTATGTCCGTAATTTCGATATTTTACTATTTTAATTTAATTTTCGTTTTTATCTATTTTTCCACCATTTTTTAATATGTTTAAATAATTCCCCCAGTCCAACTTTCAAGTATTTTCCCATCCATCTTATTTAAGCTTACCTTTCACCTTTCTCCCCAAACTTTTCCTTTATACATTTCCTTTATATTTTTATCATCCTACCGCCCTTCCTAATTTTTATATATAGTTGTTTCATTCACCTTATTTTTATTGCTCTTCTGAGCCTCACTTGACCCTAATTAAATGTTGGAGAAATAAATGTTTATTAAATAAATGCATCGTTGAATTGAGAGTTAGGGTCATTTTAACTTAAGAAAGATATGTCTGATCTACAGACATAATATTCAACATAATTTACTAAAATGAATCGCTCATCTTTACTTAACGTCTATGATAAATGAAATAAGAAAATAATTCCTAATAATTAAAAACACAATTTTCTAACTAGTTTATCGCAAGAGTTTTATAACTAACATCAAAAACAAATGCATAAATCAAAAATATGTCGAATAATAATTCAGAAAATTGAAAATACAAATTATTCTAGAAAGAAAAGAAAATTATAGAGACTTTTATGGGACTTGCTTTCTTTAAACTACGGTTCGAAACTTTTCACCAGCAATGTGCCACGAATGTCGGGCAGAAATTTTTGAGTTATCGTTCAAATAAAAATTTAAAGAGTATAGAAAATGACAGAATGTTAATTGATAGAAATAAAAGGATAATTATGACAAAACTTTAAAAATAAGCATTAAATATAATTAATAATAATCGTAACTTTGAATTTACTCTTCTCGGATAGGTTTTTAAGAACGAGGGGAGAAAATCCCTAACTGACATTACAGATTTACAATTCTAATTTAAAGTACTGATAATGTCAATCTAGAATAATTCGTTAAGATCTATTCAAGTTTTGTCATAATTTTGTAAAAGTCTAATATCTACAATTGTTTTCGTTTTTTAGTCAACACAATCTAACTAACATATTCCTCACATCCATGTTGTAATCTTCTCATATCTTCTTTTCATTAAAATATTAATTATAAAATAAAATTTATAATTATATTTCTTACTTCAATTGCCTGAACCAGAAGCACGATGTCCACCACTACGACCACGTCGACCTCGTCCACGATAGCTCTGACCATGTTGCCTTCGACCATACTGGCCCTGTGAACTTGTTCCCGCATCTGAATATATATATGTGATTATATATATATTTTCAATGGTTACTGCGAACCTTCTCTTGGATACTTCCATCCTTGATGCGATTCCGTACCTACTCCGAAATTCAGCCATCCTGATTGAATTCCTGAGTGAATTTCTCCTGGATTCATCGCTTCTTGTTGCGATCGCGAACCTTCTCCAAAATTCAGCCATACTAACTGAGATCCTGAGGGACCCCTATGGCCTCCTCCACGTTGACCTTGTACAAGATAGCCTTGTCCTTGTTGCCCTTGTCCATGTTGGCCATATCCACTTGTTCCTGCATTTGATGTGTTAGTTAATCACAAAATATTTTTTAATCGCATTATAAAAATATTATTAGGTATTCTCGTTTTATCGTAAACTCATGAAAATAAACTGACATTACATTGACCGAATATTGTATTTATTTAAAGAGAACTTTAGTCGGTTATCACGCGGGAATTATATTTAAGTTAATCAATTACCTGCATTTTGCTTCTCTAGATAATCATTGTAATGTTGACGGACATAGGCGAAAATTTTTTCCATATCTTCCAAAAGTACGTTTAGTCGCTCATGAATCTTTAGAATAAATAACGTTTTCAAAATTATTTATTTTACCTCATATTTTTTTAAATGATTATCAGTTTCATCAACTTGTTTTGATAAAGCCTTGTATACACCAGCTAAATTATCATATTGTTCTCCAACATTTTCACCTCGTTGCACATTTTCAGAGTTTTCTTTATTTTTAAATATAGATTTAATTAAGGTTGTCACGACCGGGTTTCAAACCGGATTTTTTCATATTTTCTGACAAAAATTAACCGATTTTAGAAAATTTTATAAAACGAAAACTCGAAATTTATGAAAAAGATTGTTTTTTAAAACCCCCACAATATAACAAGATTGAGTTAAACTCAAAACTGAAAACCGGGTTTTTAAAACTAGGTTATTGAAAACTGGGGTATCGGTTGATAGCCGGTAGTGAACAACCCTAATTTTTATATTAAGATTATATTTTTAACATTTAAAGAAAAAAATATTACTTAACGGCCAAAATTTATCCGCATAAGGTTCTGACTCGCCAACTTTTTCAAGCATAGGAAGAATTTCATTGTTTAATTTAGTAAAACCCTAATAAAATATGTATAAGTTTTTATTTCGCTATAATAATTGATACAAACAAGTTGTTGCGCTGGTTGTTGCGATCCCGACCCTTCACCTCGATACATCCTTCTGGTTGCGATCCCGAACTTTGTCCTGGAGATATTCAAAATAATAACGAAAACAATTGAAGAAATAATTTAACAGGATTAAAGTGTAAATTTTCATCTTTAAATGAACTAAAATTTGAATATTTTCTACACATGTAAATAAATCCTTTTTAGTAAAAAACCTTCTGAATGATTTCCTTAAACACGACATAGCCAAACCGAGCCTATTGTACACTCCCGAAATGTCTGGCTTACTTATAAAATAAATTTTCATTGGATTTTATTTCTAGTTACACGGCCATTTCCGATCCGTCCCTTAATTTTCTTTTGATTCTCAAAAGTTTAAAAATATTTGATTTAAAAAGCTTCATATATTATTTTAAATTAAAACGATTCCCTAAATCAGCCGAATATTTTAAATAAATTATAATGAATGAAGCAAATCAATCTCCTAATTTTTAAAGGCAATGAGATATGGGCATAATTTAAGTCACATTAAACTTCGAGATATATTTACTTATAGAAAAATATAGGTGATTGCAGTAGATTATATCACGGTCAATTAATTACCTTCATTTCGAGTCGTTTGATCATTGTAAAGTTGATGGACATAATTGTAAATTTTTTGCATATATTCTAATAGTTCGTTCTGTAATTTACTGTTCTCTTCAAGACGTGATTCATAAAACTTTATTGCTTGATAAATTGAATTCGTCTTTCGAGGATTGTTCTAACAAATAGAATTTAAATTTATGGTACTTTTTCGTTATCTCCCCCACATTTCTACAATGAAAAAAACATCTATCAACAAACAAATTATGTTTAAATGGAATTTGAACGGAGAAAAAAGGAAAGAAATGGGGTGGAGAATTAAAGGAAAAAGGGGGAGATAACGTAAAAGTGCCAAATTTACATAGGGCATTTAATTTCTGCATTTTAGTTTTATTCTCGGTTTTTTGTCAAAAATAATCCACATTTGCTAATTAATTTCATTCTAAACTATAAATAAAATTAAAAATATTTTTACTCGAAATTTCGTTTTATTGGTGTAATTGTTAATTAGTAGTTGATTATCTTTATAGGCTTTCTCTAAAAATTCATTATGTAAACAAACTGAATTAACATATTGTTCTCCAACATTTCTATTTGGCCGCGCATGTTCAGCGTTTACTTTATTTTCAAAAATAAATTGTATTTATATTTAAAAATTATATTTATATACTTTCAAATAAAAATAAGATTACCTAACGGCTGAAATATTTCCGGATAAGGTGCTGAGCCCCCAACTTCTTTCAGTAAAGGAATGATTTTTGAATTTAATTGAGTAAAACCCTTTAAATACGTTTTTTTTATCTTGCTATAATAATACAAACATTTTCTTCTACTAATTGCTGCAATTCTTGCCCTGAATTAATCCATCCTGATTGAGATACCGAACCTCCTCCAAAATTTATCCATCCTGATTGAGATCCTGAAGGACCTTCTCCTGGATGCATTCCATATAATAATGAAAAATTTTGAATAAAAAAAGAGTTTAAAATAATTAAATTGCAAATTTTCATCTTTAAATAAATTACAATATTTAAATTAAATTTTGATTTATGATATATGTATTTTATATACTTGTTTGTTTATATTTAAATTTTCAGATTTAAGTTTGTTATATTAAAATAAATTGACTGTAACCCTAATATAATTTTAGTTTTAATTCAAATAATCTCTTTACTTTCATTATGAACAATAAGATCTATTTTTGACAAGCTTACTTGTCTAAGTATTCTTACCTAAAAAATTTTGCCGAGTATTCTAACACTTTTTGTTATTTAAAAACAATATTAGATATTTAAAACATTTGGAAAGAAGATTAATTGGCTTCTAGAATGTTTATTGAGAAATATATCTCTCCTTTTATTACAATCAGATGCGCTAGACACTTATTTTTATTTTTAATCATATAAATCGAAATTTCGAATTTTATATCTTAGAGCAAATAGACTCATGATTAATTCTCCTTTCATCTAAAAGAAATTTAAAAATAAATTTTTTTAAAGTAGTTTGTATTAAATGGCAATCAGCCAATATTATGAAATTTAAAAACATTAAAGCAAACACTCGTAGTTTGATACTGTATTTTAGTTAAAAGACCCTTCTATTTAAATATTTAAATGAATGATTCTTCTATTTGAAGGGCCCTTCTTTGGGGGTATCGAAAAATAAAATTGATGCTTCTATTTGGATGACCGATGGGCTAGCCGCAATTGCGGTTTGCGTAAAATTAAGCATTTTTAGACTTGCTGATTGCATTTATTTTTAAATTAGAACATTAACAGAAATATAAGCTTAGCTTAACTTAGTCACGCCTCCATTAGAACAAACTCAAAGAGAGTTTTGTTATTTTATTTAATTTTCTTTTAAAAATAATAATGAAAAAGTAAAGAGGTAGGAAATTTTGTTATTTATTTTTCTTAAAAATCTCCTAAAAATTGGCATTTTATGGGGCACCAATGCCCCGAAAACACTTAACTTTTTCGAATCGGGGGACGAGGTTTTTGAATTGTTTCGAGGCGGGATACGTGTCGGGGAGGATCTGAAATAATCGTTGGGGGAACGGGATCGGGGCGAAACTCTATGTTTACTTTTTCTTTTTTTAAATTTCATAATGCTCGCCGGTCTGTCATTTTTTTTCTAAACTTCTTTTACCAGGTGAGAGAAAAATAAAGGTGTGTGGAAATATAATCTCGTGTCTTTGTATTTGCTCTAAGATATAAAATTCGAAATTTCGATTTTAAAGCTAAAAAATAAAATTGAGTGGTGAGTAAAACGCCCATTTGATTGATTTAAAAAAATTCATTCCACATATAGTAAATATTCTAACAGCCCTCCTTTAATTTTCTTTCCTAATGTTTTGAAATATATGTTTAATATTGTTTTTAACCTTCAATCAGTGTTTCAATTATAAGGGTAAGCATGAAATAGAACAGCAACTAGATAATGAGATATATCAACTAAACAACCGTCTTCAAGAAATCATAACCAAACTACGGGGAATTATACAAGATATGCATAAAATTAACGATCATTTCAATGAAGGTAATTAATTGCTTTAATATCTTTCGGCGAACAATTTCATTCAAATTCAAATTGGCCGGCCAATCTAAAGTTGTACTGCAACTCTATTAAGCCGTGTTTTTGCTTTATGCACCCCAGTTGAAAAGTCATGTCATGAAATAGATACTGTGCAATCCCAAACAAAGATAGGTCATCCAGAAATACATAACTTGATATATAACTATTATATCGTTATTAGAGTTGGTGCGGGACAGGATCCCGCGTTGAATTTTGCGGGATCCCGCCTTTTTTCAACTTGCGGGATTTTGCGGGAGATTATTCCCACGGGGCCCGTCCCGTAATGATTTTAAGAAAGTATCACGCATGCGGGATACGGCAAACAAGATTTTGCCGACATCTAATCATTATACCTATAAAAGAAAAATACAAAATTATTTTATGGATTAATTAAAATAAATAAATTTATAGTCAATGAACCTCAACGTGGACGTCGTCGTGGACGAGGTCACTGATCTGGTTTCGGCAATTGGGGTAGGAAAATTATTAAAATCTGTAATTTTATTAAAATTTATAATTTATGAAAAAAGAATTTACAAGATGTGAAGAGAAAGAACGTTTGGGTAGATCTTTTATTTAAAAAAGTGAACAAGGGTATAACGTTAAATTTCTGTTAGAATGATCGGCCATTCTATTTTTTAATCACGTTAGAAAGGTCCGCCATCCATTAGATTACAATGCCATTCAACTGAAGGGCATTGTAATTTTCAATGTGTGAATTTAAAAAAAAATTATTTGACTTGCTTATTGCTTCAAACTTTAGTTTAATTTTTGTTGGCAAAATGATAAAAATCAAATTGAGTCTAATTCTAAGCAAATATTTTGAATTCGAGAATTATTCAATTTTGAAAGAAAATGCCTGTTGAAATTTGGATTCTAATATATGAAAATTATTCTTTGTTGAATAATTCTTCAAAATTTTTTGAATATTCGATCGTAATTCGAATAATTTAAAAATTTCAAAATTTGAGGCATTAGAAGGATTTGGGGTGAATAATTTGGATATCTGTTGGTTTCGATGTATCAATTTGAGTAATTAGGGGGATATCTATGTTAGACTGGATATTTATTTAAGTAACATATCAGAAGATTAAGAGCATATGGTGTGGATGCTTCTCAAATACTTAAAGTACATAGTTGAAATATTTCAGCATAAGAAAAGTGGGCCATTTCATTAGAGTTAGGCATTTAAATGGAGTTGGTCATTCTAATAGAGATTTTACTATTAACAAACCTGTTTTAACTATTTTAGTTACTGTGCTTTTTTAAATTTTGTCATAATTTCCTTTCATTTCTATCAATTAACATTCTGTCATCTTGCTTTCCAATTTAAATTTTTATATGAATGGTAACACAAAATCCTGCGCGATATTCGCGGCTCATTGCTTGTGAAGATTTCCAGACCATAGTCGAGTCCCAAAGCCCTATAATTTTCTAGTTCCTATAATTTTCTTTCTAGCACAATTTGTATTAGTTTTTAAATTTCTGAATTTTTATTTTCTTTCCATACACATTTTTACCGTTAGTCACATTTTTACTGTTAGTTTACTGTTAGTTTTGATAAATTAGTTAGAAAGTTGTTGTTATTTTTAATTAATTAGATTGTATTGGGAATATTATACCTATTTCTCTTTTAAAATCCTTAGAGGATAAAATTAAAAAATAATAACATGAGTGTTTTCCAAAATGGGTTAAATAAAATATTTCAATTTAACACATTGGCTAAATTAAAAGAAAAAGAGCAATAAAAGTTACACAATTATTGTATTTACAATTTCCGAAAATCGAGAATTTGTTTTTCTGTCGGCTTGATCCCTGTTACTTACTACAATAAAGATTTAAATGTTAAATGATGGGACGCCCAAAAGTTTATGGGACGAATGCCCTAAACGGGGCCGAAAAATACCGTAAATCTACTAATTCAAGCGCAGTGCTTCTATTTTCGATTCTCTAGTAGAATGTTCTACTATTAGCGACTATGTGTCAATTGGAAGCTGTGCTTTTATTTTTCGATCTATTTTTCAATCTTTTGCAGAAATAATTTTCACCGAATAAAACAAATCAAAAATTAGATATTAAAATTAGATTTATAAAAATTAGATTCCATCGAATTAAAACCATTTTTAGTATTTTTAATATACCGTAAATGTTGAAATAATGTCCCTCTCTCAAATAGTTACCCACTTCCTATTAATTACCCTTCCAGCGAGAGATCGAAAAAATAATTACCCCTCCTAAAAATAGTTATAAGTAGCCTTTTTAAAAAAGCTCAAATAATTACACCCTCCCTTTTAATTACCCTCTCCAGCAAGAGGTTGAAACAATAATTACCCTGGGTAATTATTTTAGCAAATACGGTAAAAATCAAAATTTTATTCAAATGTTATAATTTCTTATTATGAATATAATTCACAATTTTTGTGATGAAAAGGAAAGGAAAAAATTCAAGTTGTAATTTTAATAAATTTTAATTAAAAAAGAAAAATGAAGATAGTATGTATAGCTTGACAGAAAATTTTGAATTTATTTATTTTTTAAAAAAAGAAACAAAACTGGCCCTCCATATAATCGCACTTTACACATTTTGAGTTCAGACAATAAAATCCATAACAACAATCCATAACAACATGCTTGCGGACATCCGCCTATACCTAAATCCGTGTCCATGAGGAAGCCTGGTTGTCAGAATTCCGGTATATAGTGGTAATGGCTTATAATTCTTTTTTTAGTCTAATCTATAGTTTATATTAAATATTTTGAAATCATTTTCAATTGTCTAAAATTTTTAAAATTTTTTTCAAAATAAGAGTTAACTTTCAAAATAAATTTAATTAATATAACATAAAATTCTAACTAATTTATCGCACGAGTTTTTTTAACTAACAGTAAAAATGTGGAAGAAAAGAAAATAAAAATTCAGAAAATTTAAAACTAATACATATTGGGCTAGAAAGAATAGAAAATTATAGGAAAATTTACAATTTGTCCTCTTCAAACTATAATCAGGATTTTCTTACCAGCAATGAGCCGCGAATATCGGGCAGAAATTTTTGCGTTAACATTCAAATAAAATTTAAAATGTATGGAAAGATGAAAGAGTGTTAATTGAAAGAAAAGAAAGGCAAATTATGACAAAACTTTAAAAAATAATATAGTAATTATAATATTGATGGGAAACAGCTTAGCTAGTTAACCTGTCTCTAAAATATAGAGAATAATTCTTAAATGTCCACCAAGCGGTAAGGGTTCGGCTTATAAACACATTCAAACTAGAGACCGGCGCGGGACGGGATCCAGCGCGGGATTTTGCGGGATCCCGTCCCGCAATCCCGCACTTTTTTGCGATTTGCGGGATTTTGCGGGATGCGGGATTTTTGCGGGATTATCCCGCGGGATCCCGTCCCGCAAAGATTTTTTTAAAAATTTTATCCCGCGGGATCCCGCAAAATTTTTGAATTTTGCGGGATTACTGGAAAATGGAGGATTTTGGCTCCTAATCTTATAACCTAAAAAAATTTTCGCCTGCGGCGCTAGAAAAAGGTCAATTTTGGTTCACTGGCCTTCCTAAAATCTGAAATTTTTGCCTGCGGCGCTGAAAAGGAAGAAATTTCGATATTTGGCCTTCTAAAATTTTCGCCTGCCGCCCATGGAATCATCTCTATTTCATCAAAACAAGATTGCTCAAATTGTTAGATCACGATGATTGATCCCATTTGTTTCAGCTCATTTGTTTCAGCCAATTTTCCGACGAATATGTATGAGCTTGCCGCTTATGGATTTTTGATAAATGGGGACCTGGGATAAGCGATTATACATCTGTACCAACTTGTACTCGTAAATTGGTACGAAGTACGATACATGTACGAGCAACGAGTACGAGTTAAGAACCCGTTAATGATTAGGAAATCGATTTTTTCAATAGATATTGATAATTTTAACGATTTTTGGAAAATCCCGCAATCCCGCGCGGGATCCCGCAAATTTAAAATGCGGGATTTTGCGGGATGCGGGATTTTGCGGGATTTATGCCGCGGGATCCCGTCCCGCAAAGATTTTAAAAAAATTTTTATCCCGCGGGATCCCGCAAATGTGATTTTGCCGGTCTCTAATTCAAACATATGTTTTTCTAGTCTAAAAAATGTGCGGAGATAAAATATCAGTATCAAAGTACTAAAAATGGCACTTTTGCATTTTCCTCTGGATTTTCACTGAAAATCGAAAACCTCAGGGGGACCAAGCTGATTTTTGGGGTCTTTGTTAAAAGAATCAAAAATTAATCTTTGTCCTGTACCCAACTCTATTTCTTGCATAATTTATCTATTTTTCCTTGGAGCCCAAAATTTCCGCCGGAGCCAAAAATTTCGAAAAGTTGGAGCCAACTTTCCGAAAATCTTGAAAATTTTCCCCAAATTTCCTGACACCAGTTATATTATCCCTCTTGCAAATGGAACAAAAAACTATTCAGGTTTTGTCATAATTTTAAATAGAAAAATCGGCTAATATCTCTATATACACTGTTTTCTAAGATTCGGTCAGCATTAACTCCTCATCTTTTCCTCACAATCATTTCATTGTCCATCTTAATTGAATATAAAATAATATAAAATACGTACTAATTAGGGTTGTCGGTTCCCGGAAAATTTTCTGATATCCGAACCGAAAAACCATCGGTTATTCGGTTCGGTCCAGAACGAAACCCTAATACTGCTAGATTTACTTCAATTGTCCCAACCAGATCTACGATGTCCACCTTTACGATCTTGTCCACGTTGACCTCGAATAGGTTGACGCTGTCCATATTGTTCTTGAACATGTTGGATTTGTCGAATTTCCTCCGTATCTGAATGTGCTAAAATAAATTTTATTCATTTAAATTAATTTAAATATTTAGCAGATAAGTTGTTCTCTAAACTTGGTAACAAATATCGAATCCATTTTTACAGAAAATCATCGGGTGTACACAGATTATATTGAAGCACTTAATTACTTGATTACCTTCATTTTGAATATTTTGATTGAGAAAATGAAGTTGGTTGAGATGATCGTAAAATGTTTGCATATTTGCTAGAAGTTTATTTTTTCGGTCTTTGTTATGCTGATGTAAATTGTTTAAACGATATATATTTTGATTGATTTCGTCGAAGTTGTCCTAGTAAATGAAAAATTACCAAGTTATTTTAACGTTTTCTTCGATTTTAAAATTTCATTGGCTAAACTATAACCCTTTAACGAAATTAATTTACATACATTACCATTAAAATTTTAATTAAGTAAAATAATCTACCCGAGCTTTGATTTTGGCATTTAAAAATTCAAATGCAAATTCGTTAATTCGAATGGATTCATTTAATAAATACGTAATTGCACCAGACAAATTTTGATATTGTTCTCTAGCATTGTTAATTTGATGAGGTCCAGAAGTTCCTTTATATTTAAAATTAACTTGTTTTATAATTAAAAATTATATTTTTAATAAATTTAAGAAGAATAAATATCACCTAACTGCCAAACATCTATACCCTCAATAGGTGGCAAGTCGCCAAATTCTCCTTCAAGCAAAGAACGAATTTTATCGTCTAATTGATTAAAAACCTTTTAAAATGTTTATTTTTTAATTCGTTAAATTAATACTAACATTAGGTTCCACAGAATGTTGTGTTGATCCAGAACTTTCTTCTTGATGCATTCCTAATAATAATTGAAAAAGATGAGGAAAACAAAAATTTATAAGAATCAAATTGTAAAGAAATTCTCAAAATTTTCGAGTTAGGCGATGAAAATAGAAAAAATTTAGCTGTGGCTTTCCTAAAATTTTTAAGTAGGCTTTGTTATAACCCCAACTTTGATCCAAAAAAGATTAACACCGAAAAATCCCGACCCCGAAACTGACAACTCCGATGAACTCGACTATTTTTATATAACCCCAATACCAACTAGTGATTTTTCTCTGACCCGCCAATTCTTTAAAAAATAGGTAAAGTCTCTATATCTCCTCCAAACTATCTTAGAACACCTTAACCCCCGATATCTTCCTTAATCCTTGATATCCCTCCCCTCACGATCATCGTTATTGCTAAAAAGTAACTAAAAATATAGACTGCAGCGATGATCTCACAATATTTTACATCACAATATTAAAATTTGAGAATTCTGATTATGAATGAAAATTCATAATCAGATTTTGTGCCTTTAAGCTTCTGGCTTCCGTCTGCCACCTTTTTATTTTATTCCGCTTCCGCTTTAAAAACTCAAAATTCTTAATCCCTAGTACAAAGATTATATTAAGGCCCTTAATTACCTTCAGTTTGTATATTTTGATGGAGAATATGAAGTCGGTTGAGATGATTGTAAACTGTTTTCATATCTACTAGAAGTTTATTTTTCTGGACTTTGTTATGCTGATGTAAATTGTTTAGATGATTTATAGTTTGATTGATTTCGTCAAAGTTGTCCTAGTAAATAAAAAATTAAAATTATATAAGTATGTAGGCAAGTAAGATCTTAAATAAGAAAAATAATACAAGTACCCGAGTTTCAATTCTAGCATTTAAATAATTTATTGTTAGTTCATTAATTTGAATGGATTCATTTAATAAATCACTAAGTTCACCAAACAAATTTTCATATTGTTCTCTAGCATTGTTAAATTGTTGCGATCCCCCAATAGGTGGTAAATCGCCAACTTTTTCCAGCAAAGGACGAATTTTATCGTCCAATTCATTAAAATCCTTTTAAAATGTTTATTTTTAAATTTGTTAAAGTAATACTAACATTAGGTTCCACAGAATGTTGTGTTGATCCAGAACCTTCTCCTGGATACATTCCTAATAATAATTGAAAAAGATGAAGAAAACAAAAATTTAAAAGAATTAAATTGTAAATTTTCATCTCTAAATTAAATAAATATTAAAATTAAATATTATACAACCCTTACCGAGTGGTAAATCTCAGACCCTGCTATAGTTTGTGGTAAGTTAAGTTACCACGAGAGCTAGCTCGGTTCTAAAAAGTCGTAAAATTACTAAATTTTATATTAACGTTCTTTAGGGTGTTTTAATGAGACTGTAAAAATTTTAGAATTTTTGGTTAGGTAATTTTTTAGTTATAGGGGAAATCGCAAGGTACCCCTTTTTTGAGCTTATAGCTCCCAGCCGCCGAATAAACTTTGCACAGCTAAAGGAGAGAAATAGCTATAGCCCAGCTGCTTTACTATAATACCTTATTTCTTGGGAGGAAAAAAAGATGGGAGCAAAATAATGAAAATTAAAAATCCCGATTTTTATTGGCCAATTTTTTTTACATTTCTGTGGTCATTTCTATTGATATTGAATAGAAAAAAGAACGGAGTCTAGAAATTATTTTTTCATCGAGATCCAAAATCTCGAAAATCATCGGGGAATAGAGGCACAGTGCTTCAAAGAATATTTTAGCCTTGAAACTTCTATAAAAATTTACTTTTTGGCTCATTTGAAAGCCCATAAAATTTACTAAAAAATAGCCCAGGCTTAAATTTTTTATTAAAGCCTAGGCTTAAATTTTCCCCTCTAAAAAGTAGCTGTTAAATAAGGGTTTTTGGGATGGTTTCCGACCAATCGGGGAGAGGAACAGAGGAACACTACTAATATATGATATAATATTTACACTCGTTTAAAGAGCACTTGATGACCTACAATTTTTGTGTTGAAACTTTTTTTTTAAAGGTTAATACAAAGGAGTTAATTGATAAAAACTAATTTAATAGCCTTTGCTTCTATCTATTTTTCCTCCACTGTATGTAGAGTTAAATAAAAAATTTAAATTTTTAAATGCCTTGCTTAATAAAATGTAAAATTTAATTTTAAAAGAGAGAGAATTGGCAAATAAGAAAAGATAAATTTGCCAATAAACTATTATTAACGTGTAATTAAAAGCATGTCCTCTTAGAGAGCGCATCTTATAAGCAATGCTCTCTCTAAAGAGAGGGCATCTTATATGTAATGCTCTCTCTAAAGAGAGGGCATCTTATAAGCAATGCTCTCTCTAAAGAGAGGGCATCTTATAAGCAATGCTCTCTCTTTAGAGAGGGCATCTTATAAGCAATGCTCTCTCTAAAGAGAGGGCATCTTATAAGCAATGCTCTCTCTAAAGAGAGGGCATCTTATATGTAATGCTCTCTCTAAAGAGAGGGCATCTTATAAGCAATGCTCTCTCTAAAGAGAGGGCATCTTATAAGCAATGCTCTCTCTTTAGAGAGGGCATCTTATAAGCAATGCTCTCTCTAAAGAGAGGGCATCTTATAAGCAATGCTCTCTCTAAAGAGAGGGCATCTTATAAGCAATGCTCTCTCTTTAGAGAGGGCATCTTATAAGCAATGCTCTCTCTAAAGAGAGGGCATCTTATAAGCAATGCTCTCTCTTTAGAGAGGACATCTTATAAGCAATGCTCTCTCTTTAGAGAGGGCATCTTATAAGCAATGCTCTCTCTTTAGAGAGGGCATCTTATAAGCAATGCTCTCTCTTTAGAGATGGCATCTTATAAGCAATGCTCTCTCTTTAGAGAGGGCATTTTATATGCAATGTCTCTCTTTAGAGAGGGCATCTTATAAGCAATGCTCTCTCTTTAGAGATGGCATCTTATAAGCAATGCTCTCTCTTTAGAGAGGGCATTTTATATGCAATGTCTCTCTTTAGAGAGGGCATCTTATAAGCAATGCTCTCTCTTTAGAGATGGCATCTTATAAGCAATGCTCTCTCTTTAGAGAGGGCATCTTATAAGCAATGCTCTCTCTAAAGAGAGGGCATCTTATAAGCAATGCTCTCTCTTTAGAGAGGACATCTTATAAGCAATGCTCTCTCTTTAGAGAGGGCATCTTATAAGCAATGCTCTCTCTTTAGAGAGGGCATCTTATAAGCAATGCTCTCTCTTTAGAGATGGCATCTTATAAGCAATGCTCTCTCTTTAGAGAGGGCATTTTATATGCAATGTCTCTCTTTAGAGAGGGCATCTTATAAGCAATGCTCTCTCTTTAGAGATGGCATCTTATAAGCAATGCTCTCTCTTTAGAGAGGGCATTTTATATGCAATGTCTCTCTTTAGAGAGGGCATCTTATAAGCAATGCTCTCTCTTTAGAGATGGCATCTTATAAGCAATGCTCTCTCTTTAGAGAGGGCATCTTATAAGCAATGCTCTCTCTTTAGAGATGGCATCTTATAAGCAATGCTCTCTCTTTAGAGAGGGCATTTTATATGCAATGTCTCTCTTTAGAGAGGGCATCTTATAAGCAATGCTCTCTCTTTAGAGATGGCATCTTATAAGCAATGCTCTCTCTTTAGAGAGGGCATCTTATAAGCAATGCTCTCTCTTTAGAGATGGCATCTTATAAGCAATGCTCTCTCTTTAGAGAGGGCATCTTATAAGCAATGCTCTCTCTTTAGAGATGGCATCTTATAAGCAATGCTCTCTCTTTAGAGAGGGCATTTTATATGCAATGTCTCTCTTTAGAGAGGGCATCTTATAAGCAATGCTCTCTCTTTAGAGAGGGCATCTTATATGTAATGCTCTCTCTAATGAGAGGGCATCTTTATGTAATGCACTTTCTAAATAATTTTATTATGAAATTATTGATTGGTAAAATTTATTTAAATAAATTTTTAAAAAATATTATTAAATAAATAAAAGTATAAATGTTTAATTGAAAAACTTTTAATTTTCAAAAATGAGTGCTGTAGAAATGAGGGCTATCCCTCTAACCTTTTAATAACAACAATAAATAGAGTCGACCTTTTAAAGAACCGTATTTTATACAAAGATGACAGCAAATAAACGACTTTAACAGTAGTATGGTTTCAAAGACTTAAATTATAATATGTTTAGGGTTAAAAAATATTTAATGCCCAATTCATTCTCAGAAAATTCTCTCTCTCTCATTTTCAGATTCTCTTCTCATTCTCTCAGATCTCTCTCAGATCTCTCAGATAAATTCTCTCTCAGTTCTCTCTCTCTCTCAGTTTTCTCTCTATCTCTCTCTCTCAAATTCTCTCTCTCAGATCTCTCATTCTCAGAAAATTCTCTCTCTCTCTCTCATTCTCAGAAAAAATTAAAGAGTGAATGTTTATTGTAATAGTATTCAGCTCGTTTTAAAGGCATTGAGCGCGTGTAATTTACGCACTGTAAAAGACTCGTGAATTGAATAGTGATATTTTACAAGTCAACTAAATTCTTTTTACCCCTAAACAAATTATTTTTTCATATTAATTGTCTTTATTGGGCAATCCAAATATGAAACTTGTCCTATTGATTTTTTATCTGGCTATATTGAGAAATTCAGAATTTTTTATTAAATAATTTTTAAAAATATTTTGAAATTTACATAAATAATACTTTTAATTTTTGCAAAATCTTTTTTTTTTGTAAAAATTAAAATTTATTATTTTAAATCAGGGCTTCTATATTTGCGGAGAAAAACCTCATTTTGTTGTTTTTGATAGGTTAATGAAGATTTTTTTAAATAATACTTTTAATTTTTGCAAAATCTTTTTTTTTGTAAAAATTAAAATTTAAAAAAAAATTTTTAGTGGATTTTTCTGGTTTTTAGAAGATTATGAAGATTTTTTATATTTTCTTGTAGTTTTTAGATAAAATTCCATTTTTATTTTCAAAACTATGATGAATATGGTGAACTTTTTTGGTATTCTGCCTTATAGTAGTTATGAAAACCGAAAGCGAAAAATGCAATTTATTCTAAACACTACAAGAAAATATAAAAAATCCTCATCAACCTGTCAAAAAATCACAAAATAAGGTAAAATCCGCACATACAGATTTTAAATTAATAGATTTAAAATAATAGATTAAAATAATTTAAATAATTTAAAATAATTTATAATTAAAATAATTTAAAATAATAGATTTTAATTTTTACAAAAAAATATTTTTCAAAAATTAAGAGATATTATTTTTGTAAATTTCAAAATATTTTTAAAAATTATTTAATAAAAAGTCTGATTTTCTCAATATGGCCGGATAAAATCAATAGGAAAAATTAAAATCTATTATTTTTACTCTTTAATTTTTTCTGAGAATATACATATTTAGATTTGTTGCTAAATACTCGTTTATAGATCTAGGCTTATTAATAAATTAAAATTCAAATAAAAAACTTTTTCTTCAAAATAAGCATTTTTTAAATTATGATTTGATGAAAGAAGTAGTTAAGAACTTCGTTCTTTTTTTCTTCTCAATATCAATGAAACGACTAGTAACCGGGCCGATCTTTTATCAAAACTGTATATATCCAAAACGATACCGAAGAAAAGCCCATTAAACATCCACTCATAAGACGACGGCAATTAAGTAATGCTTATTTTTATTTGAATTTTTAACTCATTTTTTAATAAAGAAAACCAAGAAAATCTGCAAGTACTTGACACTGTGGAAAAACAATATGATAATTTAATTTCCGCATATAACGAGTTAAGCAATGAATTTGAGACTAGTAGTGCAAGAGTTCGAAACATTCCGATGGTTAGATTACATTATATGGTAAACAATTTTTTTATTTACAATTTATTTTTATTGGGGATACCGGGCTTGGAAAGTTCAAAAGGTGGAACTCTACAATTAATTAAAAAACTTTTTATTTTTCATTTTTTAGGGCAATCATGAGATGGAACAAAAAATTGACGCAGAAACAAATCAGCTAACCATCCGTCTTCAACAAATCCCAAACGAAAAAAGTGCAATTATAGAAGATATGAAGAAAATGAACAATCATCTTATAGAAGAAGGTAATTGGATTTAATATACCTCCGAGAATAACCTGATATAGACAATTCAGCTTGTTTAACTATATAAATTGCTAATTTTTTTAAATTAAATTAGAGGGAAAAACTTAAATTATTTAAAAGAT